ATTTTCGTTGTGAAAGCATTATATTTTCTTTGCAGAAAAATAACTGATTCATACAAATATATGTATATATTGTTATGTGTTTTCATGGTGTCGCCTTTTTTCATTCTCTTTTTTTCTTCACTTTGTATTTTTCTTATATTTTCGTTTATTTATAGTATTGTAAGCAAAACTGAAAACTCTGTATTTTGGGCATTTAAAGAAAAAAGATAGTCGATAAAATTAAATTAACGATAAGATTTTATCATTTTGACAGTTTACATTTCGCAAAATGTATTAATCAGTAATATAATCTTGATTAAGTATTCATAATTACCGTCATTAAATTCATGGACGATATCCCGTTGTGTCGAGTCAAAATACATAGAATAATGTTTAATCGATGACTCAACGCATGTACATATTCGAGATAAAAATATTGGGAATTTCATGAAATGAGAGGAACTCTCTAAACTCTACGAATTAGTCGAAAATAATACGTAGTTAAAAATATTACGCACAATTTTTTTTGACAAATTAGAAATATTAATTTTCCAATATTATATTATCTAGTTATTCAGCGTAAGAAACGGATAGGAATCTTATTCTTTTCAGAGCTGAGCTAATTATTTTCAATCACAATGCGATAATTTAATTTCTAATATTTCACATAATTGTTTTTAAATTTATGAATACGCCTTTGTTTTTTGTAATATTTTACAAAATCAAGTTTATCGGAAATTTAATTGTCTATATTTTAGTAGAGGCAGACATTTTCACACAGAGAAATCGACCAGTCGGTCTCCATGGTGATCACACCCCTCTGGCGACTCTTGTATGGCTCTCAGTACTTATTTTCGAACCTTTTTTGCTTGCTTTTATTTATTGTTAGCCGTATACAAGAAATGTATGTAAAATAAATAATTTGTCATACGATATCAGCAAAATAGTTTGTTTCATTTTTTTTATTATTCATCAGCTATTCCTATATACACACATTCGCGTGTGCTAGATATGTTAACGACTATGTTTACTCGTACCTGCCTGTTTTCGATATAATACAAATGTAACGATAAGAGTATAATTATAAAATCCATAAATGACAGTAAAATACGTTATCTTTTCTTCAAATATTTGCGCAATAAATTTAGGTATATTACTAAGATTGTAAATCTTAATATTACAAAAATTTTGAATAAAGAAGTAAATTTGTGTTTCATTAGTAAATAGCTCTGATCCATATCAAATGTTGATAATTCATACAGGCGAGATATCTATATCAACGAAAAAAGTTTAAATTTGTCACAGTTTGCCAATATTCCTAATTAACGAGATGATCCGACAACTTAATTTATATTTATGCACGGAAAAAAATTGATTGAATTAATCTGAAATTTGGCTATAATAACCTGATTATTTGGTGAAAAATGAACGATCTAAAATTTTCATTAATACAACCAAACAAATTTGGTTACTTACATTCTGTTTAGTATAAGCAGACAAATTTGGTGGCACGCATTGTAATTACGGCAACCAGATAACATATGGTTACATACGTCCTGGTTAAAATACCCAATAAATTATTAGTTGCAATATCATGATATATATTATTAACATAATTAGATTTTTCATTTGATGAACAACCCTAAACTGGTTCGAAATAGTAAGGAAAAAATTTTTTCTTAGATTATTGGTTTAATCTTACATTTTTTATTAGGTATAGTTAGACAAATAATACATATATAAATAAATTACAGCACTTTAATCCGATGTCTTCTGATCCATTTTACACGAGAAACTTTTGCACAATTTATACCATTCAACCGTCAACGAAAACCATTCAACCAATTGTTGAGAAGATGCCAAAATGGTTATCAAATGCAATCGTTAAGAAACAAAATGTCTAACCAAATTTGTCTGGTTAAGATAAGGAATATTTTAGAACATTCATATTTAACCAAATAGTCAAGTTGTTATATCCATGCTTCATATTAATCCAATCAATTTTTTTTCACTTGCAAGATCTAAACTATGCTGGTGTTGCATCTAAATATTATGGTCATAAATACCAGATCTTTTAATTATGATAACCAGAAGTTTTGTTTAATTCTATCAATACTTTTTTAATCATATATGTCACGACAAGCCAACCATGCTTTTTATCCCTTATAGTCACAATAACTAGATATTTGGATATTATTACTACATACGCAATATAACCAAATTCTAACTATTATCATTTCTAAATAGTTTGGTTGCGTAATCAAATATTTGATTACAATAACCAGAAATTCTCTTTATTTCTATCAAAATTTGCTTAATCAAATATATCATGTTAATTCAACCATGGTTGTTTTTTCCGTGTGTATATTGGTAATTTCTTAAAAACAAAATTATGAGAAATTTTTAGCAAATTTGTAATGTTTTTATAATATTTGAGGTAAATTCAATCTAACATTTCATTTAAACAGATTTATAAATACATATCATTGGCAATTGCCAAAAAGTTTTCAGCTTACGTTGCAAGTCGACAGTTGTGCAATACCAAAGTATTAATAGACTAAACTGTCTGTGAGAGACTTCTAATAATAAATGCGTTTACTTTTGAAAGTTTTGGAACGTTTCGCTTGCAATATAAATGTCTTTTTTCTCTCTCCAAAATATACAGGCACATAATTGAGCATAATAAACGAATTATCAGCAAAAATTTTTAGAATTTTTAAACGTTAAATATATTAAGACACATATGGTATTAAAAATTCAAAACAGTAAAAAATAATTTATCTATCCCGACATTTTCTGATCATTTTTCTAAAAGAAAGCAAGTTGCATGACAGTCCATAATATAATGAGAACGCATAAAATTTTTTTTAATACATATTTATGTACTTTAAGATAATTTAATAATTCTGTAGCAAGTACACAGTTGGAAAAAAAATGTTAAATTTTACATAAATTGCATGTCCCAAACGGTCCCAAACTCAAATTTTTGTGATAATTTGACATAATATAATAGCTTTTAATTTTCTCTTGTGATACACTGTAATTGTGAGTGTAACCTCGCAGTACACCAATTGCGTGTAAGTGCTGCACCAGTGCTGCACTACACGAGTGTACATACACCATGATATACCACTACTTCATACTATCGATCGTGTTTAATCCTGCTGCCGGTTGACTATTATGTTCAAATTTTAAATATTACGCTGATTCTACACCGTCCTTTTGAGATCGTGTAGCAAATCCCACTTCGTGCATAAAATTTGCACTATACTATAGCCACTGAAGGAGTTAGCCTACCACCAGCCAAGGAAACACGTACGCTACACTGTCTGAATCTCAAGGAGAACGATACAATCAAAATAATGTCAATTTGACGTCATATTGACCGAATTTAGTCATTTTTTGATCATGATAAAAATCTCGACCTCAAATGACTTAAAATGACTTTATATTAATTTTTTAATTAAACTTAATATACCTCCCAGGTCAAGAACAAATTGAGCTATACTAGTTAGAAATATATATAAATTTATTATAATAATAACACCGGTATATACGGAAAGTTTCGACTTCACAGAGTCCTCAACAGCCGCAACCGAATTCTTAAAAATTAATTTAGTATATTAAATATTGCGAAGAATATCACAAGTTGGCGTTTCGTCCCGGCTTCCACTACTGGACTCATCAGTAAGGTAACGTAGTGGAAGCCTACCTTAGACGATGGTGTAAGTTATTAAATCGAGATTCTATATAAAGCGATATATGTGTATTTTAGCACTTGCGAGAATTTCGCGAATATCGATAGACATCTGATGGCGTAGTAATATTCTTCGCAATATTTAAGTAATAAAGTAATATACATGTTTACTCTCCCCCCTAACTTACCAGCTCTAAGTCCCCCCCCCCCGAATTGCGCGCCGAACTACAATCGGTCTTAAAACGCAACTCTAATAATTTGAAAATAACGTCTTCTTAATTATTTTTCCCACGCATTGTTAGACCAGCGTACAACACATTAAATTAAATTAATATCCGCTCAAATAAATTTCCAAATTAAACTTAATATACCTCCCAGGTCAAGAACAAATTGAGCTATATACTAGTTGTTAGAAATATATATAAATTTATTATAATAATAACACCGGTATATTCGATTATTAATTTTTAAATTAATTTTTTTTACTGTCATCTTTTTTTATCATCTGAGATCGAGATTTTTATCATGATCAAAAAATGATTAAATTCGGTCAATATGACATCAAATTGACATTATTTTGAATACCTCGTTCTCCTTGAGTTGCATCATAATCACTCACGCCAACGAATATTTTCCTATACGTATGTATAAGTACGCGAATATATGTTATTTCGTTTCTGTTATCTCGATGATGTGTAACACTACTATTTTTTTTTATCACTTTATAATTGATTCAAATAAAAATTGTCTTGAAATAGTATAATGTGTGCAATTTTGTCATTATAGTACGCCTTCTTGTAGAAAAATACTACTTAGCACTAGGAGGCACTACTGTACTACAGCAGAAAAATACTACTTAGCATACTACTGTACTACTACACTTATACAGCACTACTGCGCTGGTGTAGTAGTACAGTAGTGCTGAGTAGTGCTGTAGTACAGTATTATAGTGCCTGAAAATACTCCTAGGGCTCAGTAGTACTTTTCTATAAGGGAGGTCGAAACAGAGATTCTTCTAGCTCTGATCGAGTCAGTCTCGTAAGCCGAACTTAGTCCTATAAGCAAGCCTCTTGTATGCGACGCTTCGTGCTTGTAACAGTACTCGATAGGTTGAATAAGCCAACGTATTGGTAAAAACATTAAAACTGAAATATTGTAGAATTACTCAGATACGATAATATGTCACGTAAGGTCCTAACTGCTGCTATTACACGCGTAATTGCGCTATTAGTGCTAATAAGAGTGAAAAAATTGTTTTACAGGACGAGCGACTCGACAGTGCGTGTATGCTGAATTCGGCGCGGTCGATTTTTCGTGAAGCGTTCAAGATTGTCCCAAGGGTCCTTATGGTAACCGGAGGACAAGGTGGTTATCTTCCCACTGAGTTCCAAGGGCTGAAGGGCTGGCGACGCCGTTGGATTCATTCAGCCATTACCTATATTTAGAGGAATCATGATTAGCAGGAACGATATCATCCTGCAAGGAATTGAAGCGGAATGCGAAAACGGATGCGAGCACGATAACAATAATGATCAAAATTGTTCTACGAGCGTTGCGAACGTCAGAAAGGAAGATGCGTTCGTAAAAAGAAGTCACAGCAATTACTATCAGCCGCATAGAGCCCCGTTAGTTGGTTGGCAAAACGGAAGTCCTACAATTTATTCAAATCTCCTCCAGCAAAGCGTCGATTTCGACGAGACCAGCTTACCCTCGAAAAGCTGTAATGTACGTGAAATCAATTTGGATGCGATCAATATGACGGACAGATCTATCGACGCGATCGAATTGCTTGAGCCGACCGATACGATCATCAAGCCGATGGAACAGAGCGATGCTTGGAACAAAATTCAGAAGACACCCGTCAATCGTAAGGATTATGCCGATACAAGAAGAAATCGAATGCGAGTCAAGGATTCCATCGATTCCTTGAGCATTTCAGAGCGAGAGGAATCGTTGAGTTTTATAGCGAGGGAAGCTAAACGTGAAAAACCGAAAGTGCCTGATGGCGGTTGGGGCTGGGTGGTCGTTTTGGCCTCCCTGGTCATCTCCATGGTGGCCGATGGTGTCTCCTTCAGCTTCGGCCTGCTTTACATCGAGTTTCTTCATGAATTTGGCGCCTCAAAATCCAAAACCGCCTGGATCGGTTCGCTTTTCATGGCAGTACCTCTTCTGTCCGGACCGATCATGTCCGCCCTTGTCGATCGTTACGGATGCAGAAATATGACCATCGCTGGCGGTCTGATATCAGGGCTGGGCTTCATCCTGAGTATCTTTAGCAATACCATCGAAGTAATGTACTTAACGTTCGGCGTGATCGCGGGCCTTGGTCTTGGTTTGTGCTACGTCACCGCGGTTGTAAGCATCGCCTTTTGGTTCGACAAGAAACGAACCCTAGCTGTAGGTCTCGGGGCATGCGGCACCGGAATCGGTACGTTTGTCTACGCTCCTATGACGACGTACTTCATCGAGGAGTACGGCTGGCGAGGCGCTTGTTTGCTCCTAGCTGGTACTTTCTTCAATATGATTGTCGCGGGTACCGTTATGAGAGATCCGGAATGGTGGATTCTGGAGCAACGCAAACAGGATCAAGCTCTGCCGAAGAAATCGTACGGCCGCTCGGACGCAAGTTCATCGGACGAGTTTCCAGGCGTCGAGGAGCTGAGGAAGCTCTTTAGAAGCGACCACGCGCCTGAATATTTTTTACAAAATCTAAGTACGACCACTAAAGCGGTCGACGGAGTGAAGAGACAGACAACGAGTGTAGTCAATCTACCAACTTTTGTAAAGCAAAGCGAAAAGGTGAGCAAGGGAAAAGACTGCGCGGATGTTGCAAGAACGCGCGATAAAGCGACAACTTGCTGAATTTGTCAGTTTTTTTCTATAAATAAAAAAATAAATTTTAATGTGAAATTCTAGGTGCCTTTGGAAGTACTGGAGTTATTGCTGTCTAATTCTAGGCTGTACACTGTCATTCTAGAGAATTATCCCAGCCTTTTGTGTAGAAGCTTATCCGATAAACAACTGCAAGACTCGACGGGAGAAATTTGTAATAAAAGCGGCGTCACTATGTCAATGAGGTTAATTTGCTATACGTATTTGATACACATATAGTTATATGCAATACAATGCGGGTTTTGAAGAATCTCTTACGTATGTTTTTTCTTTACAATCGCGTATGCTTACCGCGCGACGCTTTGACGCTCGTCAGACACATCGAATATTATAATAGGCTGCGATATTTATTAATATTTATTATGTTCTACAAAGGCTTAAACGGGCGACGGAATCGAAAGCGATCATTGAACAAAAAAAAGATTCAACCTCCATTCACGCCCCGACGAAACAGGTTTGCGGCAGAAAAATATCTAGGAAGGAAATAGAAGAAATTAATCCTGTACTAGCAAAGGAAATCATGCATGCGGTAATTAACGAACAATTCGAACGATGTGTAAAAGATTCGATTATGGATTCTGTATAATTTGCTACTATATATGTGAAGCGACACGACGCGCGACGCATCGAATAACTATTATTTTCTTGCCAGGTCGCACCGGCTGAAAAAAAGAAATCTGTGTTGAAACGCTACGTCGAGCCGCAGCCCAGTAATGTCATCAGGACAGATTCCTTGCCTTGGCTCAGACGACAATTCAGCACCAACACCCATTATTTCAAGGATATCAGAGTTCACCGAAATTCCGTTATGTATCGCGGTGCTGCTTTAAATCTGCACAAATACAGGCTGAGAGCGAGCAGTTGTCCTGACATCTATAGAAATAGTATGACCACGCTGGCAAAAGAGAACGAACAGGTACTTTGTAGATCTTTTCTATTGAAAAGGAGAAATTTGCGAGACATGTATGAGAGAGATGTGTTTCTATCGATTTTTTCTTTCTTCATTTCCTGGCAATTTCATTTGGCAGAAGTGGTACGCCGAACTAATAGACTTGTTAAAGGGTATGTTGGATTTCTCCATGTTTTTTGAATTACATTTCCTGTTAATGTCATTGTCGACAATGTTGCTATTCACATGGTTCATCATACCGTATTTTTACCTGGCGGAGCACATGACTAGAAACGGTTACGACGAGTCCAATGCCGCTAATCTCCTCAGCATCATCGGTATAACCAATACCATCGGAATGGTAATATTAAATTTTACTTTAACGACATTTCACTCCGTCGTTTCCATTATTACTGCTTTCTTTTAGATTGGTCTGGGCTGGGCTGGCGATCAACCCTGGATGAATGTCAGGAAAACGTATGCCTGGTGCCTGATAGCCTGTGGAGCAGCCACCATATTTATGTCTGTGTTCACGCAACATTACGTATTTCTGTCGATAAGCTCGGCAGCTTTCGGTCTTTTCTTTGCCAGTAATTTCAGTTTCACGCCCGTTATATTAGTAGAACTGATTCCTTTGGAAAGATTCACTACCGCTTACGGTCTTAGCTTATTGTGTCAAGGAATCGGAAATCTTTTGGGACCTCCATTGGCTGGATGGTTCTTTGACGTAACCGGTTCTTGGGAACTTTCTTTCCAGATGGCTGGTGGTTGGATCATTGTCTCTGGAATCTTGGTAGGTATTATACCGTATACGAGAAATCGTAAGATTTTCGGTAGTGGACCAATCGAGATGGAACGAATGAATTGCGAAGACTGTTTGGCATAGATAACAAAAATATACTTTTACTACGTTTGTAAATTGCGCACTGGCATCAGGTAGAACAAAATTAATGAATATTTTATCCAAAATCAAATTTTAATCTAATGTGTCAGTCAAAATAAGAATCTCATCGTATTTTAGAGCAGTGCGATTATATCTGTTACACGATATATACATATACATATGTATATATATATATATATATATACATATACTATATACATACATATAATAGGATATGTATATATACATGTATGTATATATATATGTATGTATAGACAATGTGTGACAAATTTTGAATTGTCTGTTGGTATAGAGAGAGTTTATTTGCACGTACTTTTCCCTTGTACTTAATTTACTCGTGTTATTAATAAATTCTATTTACATAATATTATAATTGCTACACGTTCGTTTAAAATATACTAATTTCGCAACTCTTAATTACATACGCGCATACACAAACATACGTATACCTTTATAGATGATAATTGTAAGTTCAATTTACCTTTCTATCTACTTAAAACGCTCAATCGCATACGCAATGTATGCACATGTTATAGATTTAATTTTAATAATTAGATCGTTCAATTTTGTTATGAAACAAAATTAGAGTCTAATTAAAGATAATGTATTTTGTAACAAAAAAGAAATCTCATAAATAACAAAAGAGATTCGGGCATACAGAGAAATATACTTTCATTTGATTTAATCTGAAATGTTTAAATACGTTTACACAATCAACATTTTTACATTATTTTACAAAAATAAAAGAACGATGTTTATATAACAGATTTCGCAAATAATAAGCGATACAAGTTTAATATTCTGACATGCGATTCAACTGTATCACAAGTTATCATTTTCACATCTGTCGCGCAAATGTTATGTATAATGTGAATTGTTTGTTAATAGAAAATCCAAAGATTAGAGAGATAAGTAGTCAATTAAATAATAAAATAATATTTATTAGTATTTTTGTTAGAAGATGTGCGCATTTAGAACAATGTGTATAATTTCGAAAGAAAGAATTCTGTTATAAATCGTTGAATTTATTTAGTTTAATTGTTTGTTCAATTATGTCATTGCGACATAAAATATTCTGTTATGACGATATGTACAAATATATAAATGGACGTTTTATTTCATCTACGATGTCAACGTGTACTATCTGCCCGTAGAACAAGTAATAAATCTTAAATGTAAAATTATTATTTAACAAACGGTCCAATTATAAATATGACGATATTAATGTTTTGATCACTGTTTCAAATTCAATCGATTACATATTTTGCAAAACAAAACAATAAAAAATATATATGTATATTATATATATCTCTTTTATACAGTATATAGTAGTAGTATATAAAATTGAGTGAGAAAAATTTCCAAATTTCTTCCCTTTTGCGGTGAATCTGAGCCATCAATCTCAGGTAGATACCTGAGATCAGTATCCTGGAGACGTAGTCGGATTGAGTGGATTAGGACTTGGACTTCGGATGGGTGCTCTCGGCACGCCTAGAACGCCGGCGAGATTTCGTACGCTTTTAGGAAACGCTCTCGCGATGATAAAATGCTGAGGGCCGATCAAGGCGTCTCCCATTATACCGAGGCGTACTCCGTTCCTATGCCTGTGCAGAGTCATAGACATGTCTAAAAGCATATAGATACATTACAAGTGTTTTGATGAACAAGCGCGATGTAATAAAAGAAAAGCAGATATTCGCGCAAAAGCGAAACACATTGATGACATGTACTGCAATTTCCTTGCGGTGGTCGCCAGTAAACCGCTCCGTCTATGCCCTCCACAGGTAAATCTCCGTCAACATGCGTTAAACATAGAGAGTATCTTTTCGACAGCTGATTTAAAAGTAATTTCAAAACGATGGACGGAACGCAGGACGAAATTAATCCGCAGGATGTTTCCGCTGCCGTGAGAGCGTAAATTGCGCTTTGCCGGGACCTGGCATTCTGCACGTTTCGTTGAATAACCTTGGGAAACGCGACGCGTTGGAGAGATCCAATTATAACTAACTTTTTCGAGCTTAAGTCGAATAAGCATTATGCAATACCTGCAATATTTCAATGAGGTCGTCGTGGAACAATGGTGTTCTGGTTGGTAACGCGATACAGAGGATACCCCTGGCCTCGTGATTTCGAAGAAACACTGATCGCTGACTCACGTATTTCACTGTCGCGAATACATCATCCGGCACGTTGACGGCCAAATGCTTAAAGTATTCTTTCAGGGCGTCCACGGTAGCTGTTAAAAGAATCTCCATCTCCGTCGCGCCAGTCACATTAGCCATTTTTCGTACGAGCTCGATGTCCACCTCTTCAGACCAAGCCACTACTTTCCTGCCACATGGCGAGATGGTCTGCAGTCGATTCGATTGCGGATTCTTCAAAAATAGCTCCTCGATTATGATTTTGGGTGCAGTCGCGGCTATCCAGCTGATGGACATCGTCTCCCGAATTGCTTGAAACGTCAGAGGAAGGTAACACGACAGCGTGTACATCAAGGTGTCCGTAGGATAATTGCAATATTTATGCCGCGACAGTAAAGCTCGCAATTCTCGAATGAGTAAGAAAGGCGTCTTCAGAAACGACGCGATCACGATATAAGACAGAGCAACGCATGTACAGAGAACGTCGATCGGGTTGAGAGATTTCGCAATGGAGTCATATATCATTTGAGAATTAAAATTTCTCTTCCTCGATTCGCGCCGGACGATCGACGGCAGCTCCAAAAGTTTTAATCCTCCCGACTTTCGGCACTGTCTAAAGAAATTACAAAACAATGTTGTAATATTATCCCGATATGTATTTTATTATTATTTTGGATATTCGAATGAAAGTTTATAGCAAGCGCGAATATAACGATATAGTCTTCTGGAATGAAATGAGGCAACTCGAGATTACGTTATTGTCATGCACGAGATTTGTGGGAGCAATCAGATATACCTGGCCAATTCCTTCAAAGTGCAAACCAACACTATCGTCGCGATCTTGATACACTGACATATTCCTATACGCTTTTTTAGAATCCCCGGCTGCTCTGTGGGATCGTTATTGTAAAGAAAATCGTTCCAGTAGTTGCTGAAGCTCTCTCGGAACATCTGTCGGAGACGCGGTAGAGCGGAGGGTTGGGTATACAGATTCGTAAAGGGCGAGTCGCTCTCTTGACAAGTCCAGTTGTCCGTCGAATATTTCAACGGCAAGAAATCCGCCAAAGTTAGATGCTCCTGTCGCAGGAGCAAGTGATGCGCTCGCACGAGACATATCTGACGCTCTTCTCCTCGCGCCAAGAAGTTGACTACGTGCACTTGCCAAGGCGGTAATTTCTTCGGAAGGAACTTGGATGTGACGTCGCTTATGTAATCCTACGACAAAAGAATTGCCTATATATACGTGAAACAGCTGGCTCTGCTCTACGCTAAAAGTATATGAAGTAACAATAGATTAAATGAAAGAACGACCTGTATATTGTTCTCCGTGATAGGACGACCTCGAAATGAGTACGGTGAATTTGCGAGATGATTGTCCACGGAAAAGTAATCAAGTTCTTTCCATACGTATACGCCCCATCGCGTGAAGAGAGCCGATTTAAGGAATTTTCTCGTCGAAGCCAGATGCGCCAAATGATTTCTCACGCCCTTTACGATCGAACGTCCTTGCACGAGAAGGGTGCATATGCCCTATATGCAAGTATCGTGATAACGATGGATAAATAATCAGTGGCAGTCGATTAAAATGATTGGCCCAATCAAATTCATCGACACTTACGGGATTGCGTCCTTGGTCCAAGATGCTACGAATACTATTCTCCTCCACAATGACGTAACTCGGATGTTTCCACTTGACGAAGGATATCCAACATTTTCTTGTCCACGTCACCACTTAAAAACGCCAAATACACAATAATGTAGCCCGTGGTAGATGAACGTTATTTAGCCCAAAGGAGAATATAATTTCAGCGCCGATATTATTAACATTAGTAGATATAAGAATATATAATAATGCGCGCACACATTCGGAACAAAAATAATTACCTACATACGCGATAAGAAGAAGAGGAACCAAGAAAGTCGTCAGTACAAAACTGAAACCGAAATTCATCATCGGAGAAATACCGAACATGACTTGATCTTGCGATACGATTTTCGCCTATTATTGGACAAGAACCACTCTAAATCTCGCAGTTTCCGATATCTTACTGCTTGGTGATATAACTCGGCGCAACTTGACTCACGGCATCCGCGTTCTCGTATGCATGAGTCTCGGGGATGCGGCGCGAACGATTATACGCCGAGTCTGACCTTTTACGACCCCCCGGCAAAAAGAAAACCAAGCGCGATATACTCTATTCCTTCGTGTCTCACCTCTCACCGTCGAACTCGTCGAAAGAGGTCTTCTTGTCAGAAGTCTGCGAGAGTTATCATTGCCGAGCGACAGTCATAACAATCAGTCGTGGCGAAAAGAGCAAGCAGGGTTCGAGATAATACAAGTCTTTAGTTTGAAACCTATTACGACGAAACTGTTTACGGACGAATGTAAACATCGTTGATCGAAAAGAGTTCCCCTTCAATGAGAAATATACAATATATTTTACAAAGAAATCATTTCCTCAAAAGTATATATACAAGGTGTTCGGAAATTCAATCGATAAACTTTCAGAGACTGTCGGGGGCACCAAAAGGATCACTTTTTGCAAATGGACCTATAGGGTCGGAAGCGCGTCATTTCATCGACAGACAGTGTTCGAAAAAAGTCAGACCTCGAAATATCTAAAATAAATATAAGTTTTGTAAAAAAAAACTGTTTCAGACAAAAGTTGTAAAAAGATTTGGTACTTGATTTGGCACCTACTTTGTTACTTTACAAACAAAGTAGATGCTTCCCATTTTCTAGATATTTACCATGGAAGCGTGCCCGTGCACAGGGGGGGAGGGGGATGAGCTTCGCGTAGAAGATTTTACACATTTACATAGAGGGAGAGGGTGCAGAATAGTACTTATAACAATGTACAAAATGACACATGCCAATTGCGAATGTAAAAAATGTAAAATAAATTTCCAGAGTAAATGGACTTTGCAATATCATGTAAACTTAGAGCACAAAGATGAAAGACAAAAATCTCGCAAGGTATATGCCTTAAAATTATGTGATAACTTCTGTCAGCTCAAATTAGCATTTTATTATTTCTTTTAAAATTATCTTTTTTTCTAACTTTATCTCATTTCATCATTTTTATAAATTATTTAATTAAGAATATGTTAGCTTTGTTTGTGGTAAAAAGCCTTTTGTTACCAAATAAAATCAAAACAATTCCATAAATATAGAAAACCGTATCACCGTTTCGTTTCCAGAGTTGTAAGATAAAATCAGGATTACAACTAAAGTACACAAACTAAATGAGAACATTCATCTGAAAATGATTTAATTGGTGAGAGATCAAAATAACAGTTTTTTATATTTCAAAAATGAATCACAAAAGATCAGTATTAATTTCAAAAGAATTCTTATTAAATTGTCTTACCATATTGTCTACTTTAGCGTAATACATTTTATTATTGGAAGATAATGAAATGGTAAAAAATCTTGGCATATATAATGATGTATTCAAGTCAGACGTAAAGTTGGGAACTGTTGGTGTATGTTTACTTTAAACTGCATCTTCAATAATATATGAGTCATTTTTCATGGTATTTCATTATCTTTCAATAATAAAATGTATTACGTTAAAATAGACAATTTGACATAAGAATTCTTTTAAAATTAATACTGATCTTTTGTGATTTATTTTTAAAATATAACAAATTGTTATATATAGTTTGATCTCCCACTTAGATCAAGATTTTGGAGTGTAAATTAACCAGTTTTCAATCACGTAAGTATATCTTCATAAGTATACGTTTACAAATTATTATTCTCTAATTAATAATTAATATCGTGAGAAAGGATTGTTCTGATAATCAATTTCGTAATAACATTATACCAAAAAAATTTATTACGTTTATTAGTATATTTGATTATACATATGTAATATATTGATATTGGAATAAATACATATTTACTTTCATTGCATTATCTTTCAATAATAAAATTATTATGTTAAAAATATATTATGTTAAAATATTTTTATAGAAAACATCAATGTAGACATACTGGAAGAGTACCGTTCGGAAACCATTACCAAGAAAGAGAAACCATAATAAATCTCTTAATACTAAACATTAGAAAGAAGCATAAATGATGTAAAAGAAGAATATTTATTCATTTTTATGTACGTTTATTATAATTTTTTTTTAATGTTCAGTATTAAGAACTTTATTATGATTTCTCTTTCTTGGTGATAGTATCCGAATGGTGCTTTTCCAGTATGTCTACATTGATACTCTCTAAAATACTTTAACATAATACATCTTATTATTAAAAGATAATTCCAATGGAAGTGAATATGTATGAAAATGGTTTAAATTAAAAGCATTTAATCTTGCATTAGTTAAATTTCTAATTTTTGTTTGAACTTCCGGTTTTGATTTGGTTATACCAAGTTATTAAATTCTACCTTTAAAAACCCATGTATTACTATTATTTAAATTCTACCAGAGAGAACTCTGCTGTTACTTTATTTTGAAGCGCCTTTATGTCCACAAAACGTGGACATTGAACTATGTAGCCAATGTCCACAATCGTGTCGGTAATGTCCACAATTTTTTGGTTCGATTCTTCCCTATGTCCATGATTTTTTGGTTTGAATCTTCCCTATGTCCATGATTATCAATCCGTTAGCCAAACAAAGCAGACAACCAATCGATGTGTCTGAGACCAAGTCAGAATCAGTTCTTTTTGGTTGAACTTTTGTACCAGTTCATCATTTTACCTTTTCTCTTCTTCTAAAGAAAAAAGGAAAAAATATGAACTGGTGCACACAAAACACGAATTTTATAATAATTGCAAAGCGGCATTCTCTGCTGAACACAACCACTAGGCCGATATTTTATCGGTCGACAAGGCTTTTCAATGGCTGCAGAATAGAGTGATTCTCAGATCATCTATTCTTGAAAAGAAACGTATATATGTATACGAGAAATCAGAAAAATACTAATACAAAATTTATTAATGAGTTATCAAAAATAAAATTTTGAATTTTGTATATCTTCTAATAGAGAAATGAAAATTGCTAACTTTTAAGAAACTTGAAATCAAATATTCAAATAAATTAATTTCACGAATTTTGACTTATAAAATACGTGTCTGTATAAAAATGGAATTAGGAAGTTGTTTTCTTTATGTTAACTTAGCCCGTCCTTCCTAAATATATAGTTATTAGTAATTAGTACAAACGAGTTAGAGAGGCCCTCCACCACCCCCACCGATTTTATCGGCGGTCCTCTTTTCTTTATAAACTAGAACAATACAGGCGCGCGCTACGCGCACGCTATCAACATTTGACATTATTAAAAAATATATATACATAAGTAGTCAAAATGAGTAATCACTTATATTAAAAATAAATGATCATAGTGAGTAGCTTATAACGTAAAATCATATATTAAAAAATAATTTTCTTTTATCTTTTCTATATCAAGAAAATGACAATTTGAAAACACTATCATTTCCACATCACCTTGCGGTAGATAGTATGATGCGTTTTTTTTATAGTGGTTTCCCCATTAGGCCTAATCCACTTCTCATATATTACCCTTTTATATTATTTTTTTCAGAAGATGTTATTAAAGATTTTAAGATGTTTTTTGAATACGTTTTTCAATATACATAAGATGTGTTGAACATTTTTGAGATATTATACCATTATATCTTTTTTTCATTGTACCTTTCACAGAGTGAAAGTAAGAATAAGGAATAATAAATAATAAACAATATATGCACAAAAATAAAATAATCAAATAAATTAATAAATAATTATTTTTTATAGTAAATAAATATATATTTTTTTTAAAAAGTTAAAACATTTAAAATTATTCATTTAATAACAAACAAATAATAAAAATTAAGAATTTACTTATTCATAAATAAATTATAAATTAAAATTAATACAATGTTGCTTATGTAATATTATTTAAAGTATTTATGTAATACAAGTTTAAAAATACTTTTAACTTATAAGAACATTTTTCTTTAATTATTTTACTAATTTAAAAACTATTATAACCTTGACATTGTAATATTAGGATTTTTTAATATCATAAAAATTTACAATAAAAAAAGGTAAATACTGTACTTTTTAAAAGTAAATACTATAAGTAATATGTAAAGGCTCAAAATGATTTAAAATTAAGTAATAATAAATAATGCCTATATGAATCGACACAGTGTGACACAATTTATTGGAATTGTATAAATCATAATTAAATAATATGTAAAGGCTCAAAACGATATAAAACTTTAATATTATTAAGTACCTTTATGTTATTATTTTTTATTTAAAAAATAAAAGGAATTATTTATATATTTCTTTATATACATAATTTTTAATTTGTTTATTATCACGTTGACTACCTAGATAAACTTTTAATGCTTCCCAAGAATGTACTCTTGAAAAAGCAACATAAATCATTTAGCAAAAACGAGCTAAAGAGGCCCTCCACCACCCCCGCCGATTTTATCGGCGGTCCTCTTTTCTTTATAAATTATACTTATACTCGTAAAAAACGGACCATCGTAACAACAGCCTGTTTTTGCGGATAATTGTTGTTTTATATTTATATTTTTTTATTTTCTTTATTTTTCTTTATTTGTTATATACTCGTACATCTTGAATACAATATTTAATGCTATCTTTGGATATAATACTTTATTCAATTTAATACATTAATAAATATAATATTTGTACAATAACTATGTGAATATTACAATGACATTGACAATATATAAGAATAATAATACTTACAATCATAATATATACAATATAAATGCTGTCAAAATATATGAAAAATTATATTAAGAGAGAACATAATTAAAAAATTACATTATTATATATAACAAAATGGGATTACACGAAAACGTCGAAAATAAGTACAAGAACACATAATTTTATCAAATGTATAGTTTCTAGACAAATACAAATAAAATTTATTATATATCGTTATATACCCTAACAGTCTAATTAACGTATGATATAATTTA